TTTAAGATCAGCCTTGGTGTTCTCCACAAGTTTTGATACGGCTTCTTTGTCCCAGTCCCTCTGGTCTTGTGACCTCTGTTCCACGTTAGCTCAGGAAGACCATAAAACTATGACTGAAATTTTCCTTGCTATTCCATGAAGTGGAGATTCCCCAAGTGGGAACCAGAGACTATGGTGGGGTTCTCTATCTAATATGTGAAGCATCAGTGCCCTTCCTCCCGAGATGCCCAGGGCCTTGGCTATCACTGTGTTATGAATTATACCTATAAGTAAGGTTTTCAGATCGGAAGACCAATCTAAGCTCTGTGACTCTGTCAACAATGAAAATGACAGCGGCAGCGTTGCATTCAGATTTTGTCTCCCTATTAATTTTTCAATAGATGGTATCCAGCTTTTTTTTTCCTTTTGCTTGTTAGAGATTATATTTCGTGTCTTTTCATGGCGATTTTTGGATCTTGAAGGTAGGGTGTGAGAATGCATAAGCACACATGCAATCTGCGCATCTATCCTAAGTGGTGAAGTCCCCTGAGGAAACCAGTTCAGGGGAGGGGTTTTGGAAAACAGTGGCTGAGAGAGATTCACTGGTCAAGAGGACTTGGATTAATAGAGGAAGGAAACTATTGAAGGAAAGAAACCCACAATAATCGTGCAAATTTCGATCAAATGGATGATTTCTAATCAAGGGTAACAAAATAATAGAAAATTAAATTTTGTGCAGCTGAGAGGTTGTAAAGTCATCTTTGAGGCAAGGCAGATGTTGAGCGGGGACAAGGAGAGAATGAAATTTGGTCTCCAGCAAGTCTTGTTTGATTTGGTTCAAAAGGTCAGTGACCAAGTGCTGACAGTCCTGATTCAGAGAAATCTTGGATTAGATTGTTATCATATAAGCAAAAGGCACAGCCATAGGAATGTGTTAGACTTCAACGGGCAGTTTGTTTTATCATGAAAAGGAGTGGGCAGTGTTAAAAGCTCCACATGATTCAGAAGGAGGAAATTCTAGAGAAAGAAATGAAGTGGAGGATGTTTAAGTACGTCTCGAAAGAATTCATACGAATTAGTTGGAATTGCAATTTTTACCATCTAAATAGCAGAACGAAATGTCATGAATAATGGCAACTTAAAAGGGGTTATTCAGTCTAGCAAGCTGCGGATGGTGATTCAGCATGCTGAGTCAATCCCTGGAGACTTCTATCTCTGGGAACAACTCGAGGCAGGGGCAGGAAGATGATTGCTGGGTGAAAGAGAGAGGAGTAGAGAACACACTCCAGAATGATTCGTAATGACAGAAAGATGAAAAGAGGTTTTCACTGGTTCGTGTATTTGGTCTTATTATAAGGGAAGATACTGTGTTGCTTCTGCTGCTCAGCTCCTGGCCCAACCCTCGTCCAGCTGTCATTTTGGGTCATGCATGACCTCCTGACCAGTGTCCCTGTTTCCCCTGCTAACACAATGAAAGGGTGCTTTCACTTTCAGTCAAGAGGGAGCCACTTCTCTGCCCCAGCATTCACTGGAGCCCACATCCCAGCTGGAGTGGGAGCCAAGGTAAAATGAAATCACCTTGGAAGCCTCTGCAGATGTTGGCCTCAGTGACTTCTGACCTGTCCTCTGCCCTTGCAGACGCGTCCTCATCAAATAGCAGCAGCTGAGCTCTGGTAGTTCGGTCCTCTGTGATTTTAAGGTTGTGCTCTATTATTTTACCTAGCATCTAAAACCAAGGAAACAGAAATGATATAGAGTTACTGAAACTGCAAAACTGTCCGATTTCTTGTAAATCCTATTGACAACACAACAGGGTCTGCCTCTGGCTCACTGCATCTCATCCCAACTAGGAAATCCCCGACACCTCCAATGGGTAGAACCACGCTCCCTCTCCCACTGCTACATTTCCCGTCTGCAAAAAGAGGGACTATGAAACACAGACAGTGACAGGCTGGATTGTTTCCAGTTTCTTTTCATTTAGGAAATGCTGAAAATGTATTTAAGATCATACAAAATATTGCCTCAAAATGCCGTTGTTCTTAATGGTGAGCCCATTCTCCTCTGCTTTCACTGCTTACAGACCCTGTCAGGGATCGCTGTCCACATATGGCTACATTTAATGACCAACTGCAGTTGTGCTTGGCCGTTCAGGGACCTCGGTCTGATGAATGCATGTTGGGACTGCCATTGATTCACGGCGCGGAAGAGACGAGAGTATAACAACACATTTGAAATTATCTGCCTAAGAGACAAGAGCTATTGCACTAATTTGCATTTTTTTCTTTTTAAAATTTAGATGAATGTAAGTATTTATGGAAAGAACAAATGCTGCGAGTTGGCGCTAAGATCTGTCTTCTGTGTGGAACATGGGGTGTTTACCCTTCATGGGGGCTTAGCATTGGGATTTTTTTTAAGAGTTGTAGTGTGGTGAATGTATATGAAAGCTCTATTGATTCTGTATTCTTCCATGTAGACTGGAAAGACAGAGCCTACAGGGCAAACCACACCACAGTCTGGAACCGTGACAGACTGTAAAGAAAGCGGGATGGCAATTATAACTCAGGTTTTAGCATATTTGGTTTTGAATTAAAGGAATTTCCATAAAAGTGTAAACCAGAAACAACATGAGATGAAAATCTTACCAAATGGAGATATTTAGTCTCTTCTGTGAGGAAAATAATTGCTACGAGTTCTAAGATCTTTGGCGAGAAAATATACAGTGAAAAACATCTGAACATGACATTTGTAGCTGAAAACAAAATGAAAAGGCTTAATTTTTAATTCTCTTCCTTCGAAAAGCCTCAATTACATTTTCACAGTTATTGTGCAGATTAAAATATCACACTTTGTGAGGGTTAAAATGTTTTGAAAGGAAATGCACATTTCAGCCTAAGAATTCAACAGCGGGTAAGAGTCTAGGCTCTGCCAGTACCAACTGCCTGACTATCAGTCACCCATGGCCTCATTTTCTCCTGCCTAAAATGTCAGTAGTGACACTCACTTGGTGAGCTTGTTGCCTAGATCACCTGGCACCCTTCCTAAAACCCCACGAAAAGCTTGTGAATACCGGGTGCAATGCTAGTTCTTGCCAAGGCTGATTTCTTGGAAGGACCTAGAAAGTTTATTTTTCTGTCCTGCTTTCCATGAATTTGCTAACTTATTACACCATAATTAATGTAATTAATAATGAAGATTATCTACTAGTACATCAAGTGCTTACGTTAAAGAATAATGAGAATGAAGGATGGCCTTGTGGTAGAGCACAAAAAGGGGAAGCAGGAAAGGCAGCTAGCTTGGGCTGTTCCCAGATTGTAAGTTATTGTTCAGCCCAAAAAGGTTAATGAACACCGTGATTGGGACAGAAGTAGGTAGTTCTTAGGATAAATCAGTTGTCATAAAAATGAAAACCAGAAGCAAGGAGTCCATTATGGAAGACTTCCTCCAAGAGAAACGTTTGAGACACATTCTGGAAGAAGGGAAGGGTACTCACCCATGCCAGGTGAGTGAGTCATGTAAAGATTTTATTGTTTGCATGTTGGGACACATCCGTTGTTGGCCTAGGGCAATCCCAAGTGTCTCACATGCTTAGGGTTTGGTGCTGGTGTGATATCATACAAACCAAACCTCCCCGTAAGTGGGGAGAGACAGGAGAAGGAAAGTCTCCGGAATCGCTATCCATGTTTTCTACATTGGTATTAGCTCACCCTTGAGTCACAGGCATTTGCTTCTTAAATGTCATTTGTTGTCACTCCCTGTGATGGTTAATGTTACCTTTATATTAACAGCCGTCACTGGCTATCAAAAGAACGTGTCAGTCCTCTTAGACATAACAGATTTTTCTGTGGCTATGATTAATACAGGATGACTCACTGGTATTAGAAGCACATGTTGATTAGTGCCTTTCCCCAGAACAAACACAGTCATCTCTCCTTCTCCTCCATCAAAATGCACTGTTTCCCAGATACTTGCTGGGTAGTTTTATGCCAGAAAGAGCTAGGATTCGAGATGTCAAAAATGGTCATTGGCTTTATTTATTTTGTGCTCATTTTGTAACCACTGAAAAGCAAAATGTATCCTATTTTGTTTTTCATTTAGCAGATACTGGTTGCATATTCAACACGCATTGCAAAGCAATTCACCTCTAGAGGCAGGAAAAAGCATGGTGTATGGGTCCTGGTCTTGGTGAGCACGGTATTCTCAGAGTATTTGTAAGCTTATAGACTGCACTGTGGTGATAGGGGTCTTGTTTCCTATGAAGAGAACAGAGGACCCTGCGGGGAGAGGAGACTTAAACACCTTTGTCAGTGTCACTTTAATACTCATGGGTGTGCACAGAACTGAGAAATGCAGATATGCAAATCAGCCTGATGGCTCAGATATCAGCAAAGGAATTGCCTACAATGCAGGTAACTAGACAGTCAGAAAATAGTGTTATCATATCCGAACTAGTGTCTACAAGTTTGTGTCAAGTTTCCAAGCAAGAGCCTAGTGTAAGTTGTGTACCCGCCCCCATTCTCCTTTTCTTGTCCCCTTTGTCACTCTGTCAGTCCCCGTGGCCCCCCAATTTTGTTTTTAATTTTATGTCAAGCTATATAAAGGCTTGGATCCACAAGTGCGAGGAACGTAAATGACATTCTGAGACAGGCCCGCTTCACTTCACATGAATGTGAGCCACTTGTCATTAGGATCTGTACTTGCTCTTTTGCTCAGATCTGTCCGTGTCACTTTTACAAGCATGTTACTGTCAGGATGCCGTGGTGGTTGGCACAGACGAAACGGAGAACTGCTCCAGGTGACTCAGTCACAGGAGCCCATTTCACCCCAGGTGTCTGTTAGCCTCCCTGTACAGCATGTGAAGCCTTAGCATGAACAGCTAGTGAAAATTATCGCGTGAAGCTGGATACACAGATCAGCGTCAGAGTGCTTGCCACATACATACAAGAGTTCAAACCCGAGTCACCAAAAAGAAAAGCAAGTAAATGAGTTTCCACTGTAAAACGGACGATTACAACAGCAAGAGAAAAGGTGTAGGTAAATTTTTATTTAATAATTTTTTATTTGTTGATAATTTCACACATGCTTAAAGTCCTTTTTTATAAATCTACTCCCTTCCAATTCCTCTCCTATCCCCCATCACTCCCCCCAGCTTCATCTTTTTTGCTTTCTGTTTCTCTGTATACTGAGTTCACTTAATGCTATGTGCATTGCATGGGTGTGGGACCATCTACTGGAGTGTGGACAGCCAGAGGTCCTAACCCTAAAGAAACTGCTTCTTCCTCCGCAGCAGCCATCAGTTGCCAATAGCTCCTCACATACGCATGGGACCTCGTAAGTCTTTCCTCCAACCATGCTGAGACTTTATCTGGGTTGACCTTGTGCAGGTCTTATGCAGGCAGTCACAGCTCCTGTGAGCTTGTGTGTGCACTGACCCTGTCATACTCAGAAAATACTGTTTCTCTGGTTCCTACAGTCTTTGCAAGACCTTCTCTTCTATGATGATCCCTGAGCCTTGGGGAAAAGGAATTTATGATACAAAAGTCCTATTTAGAGATGAAGACTCCATAGTCTCTTATTCTCCGCAAACTAATTAATTGTGGCTTTCTATGTTAAGAGCTGCTTGCTGCAAAAGGAAGTTCTCAGATGAGTGTTGAGAGGTGCACTAATCTCTAGGTATAGAGATGAGGTAGCTTATCCCTATCTCCATTTAGCAGGGTAATTGTATTACCTTTTCACCTAAGGGTCTATGACCTAGAACAAACACCAAAAGTTTCTGGCCTAGCTAATCATGCCAGTAGGCTTTAAGCCCAATCAGAAAGTAGCTGGTTACATATATAACATTCTTGCAAGGGTTGCACCTGTTGCCGGGCCGTTTGTTACCGTAACTGACAAAGTTCACAGCTTTGTAAGACTGTTGATTATTTTTATGCCCCTGGCAGCACACAGAGAGAAACTTCCAGCACCCTAAGTGCTAGTCAACCAAGTAAAGGTAACATTTAAAGGCAGATTGCCGTTGTGTCTGTAGTATCTTCACAGTCTGTGGAAATCAAAGTGTAGAGAGCATGTGCCTTTCATTGCTTCCCAGGCGGTGAAAGGGAGATTGCTACTGTGGTGTGTTGGTGGTTTCTGTTCAATTTTGTCTCTTTTCTTTATCAGCTGACATTTTAGTTCACGGGAGTTTTTGAAGTGCGTCTTATTTTCACAATCCAATTGGCTAAATTTCTAACTTCATTTGAGTAGGATTGGAATCCGAAGGTGTTCCCTAAAAAAAGAAAATCCAAATATAGCATTTATCATTTGAGCCAATAAAATTAAATAAACAAGCAAACCAGACATCTGTGATTGATATCTTATGTGTTAGAATTCTGGATCACTGAAATACACTGTTACCTAGCCAGCTCAAGATAACTCCCCAAGTGCATTTGTTTCCTGGCTTAGCACAAGCTCTCCCAGATGCTTGCAAGGACTATCTGTTTCCTTTTTCCTGATTCACTTCGGAATGATTTGATAATTTGCTTACATCTTTTACTCTGCTATCCATGGCTCATTATCCCAGGTACATGTTTCTTGCTTCAATCTCCCAGCCATTTTCCCTACCTCCTGTGGTTTCCTCCTGTGGTCTGTGTAACTCTGAGGTCTGATAAAAGTGCAAAATTCTAAGTCTTAGCCTCAAAAAGGACTTTATTGTATCCTTTGAACTACTTAATTTTGCTCCACACAATGAATTTTATTAATAACTTTTAGAAGTCATCATTTTCCTCCATTTCTGGTAATGACCAATAGGAGGTCAAAACACAACACAGAGGCGTTTTTACTGCCATCAGTTTACTGGGACTTTATGTAGTAAATGTGGTGCCGTGCTCGATAGGTCTTGGCTGTTTGTTTTACACATTTCTCCTTTCTTCTGCTCTGAGGTTTGACCATAGAGGCTTGCATATGCTAAACAAGTATTCTCCCACTGACCTTAAGCCCCAGCCCTGTTAGATTTCTACTTTGAGACAGATCTTGCTAAATTAGACAAGCAGCCTTTAAACTTGCTAGGTAGCCCCTCTGACCTCAAATCTGGGATCCTCCTGCCTCAGTCTCCCCAGGAGCTAGGGCCAGGGTGGGCACCAACATCTCTTTTGCATCTTCAAGCACCAGCTTTGGAGTCGTGTTTGCTCTGGTGTAACATCACTGTGATCCTTGTTCTTTGCAGCTTCTTCTGCTGGCGCTTTTCTGGGTTCCTAGCTGGGTACCTTTTCTAAAGCATCATCGGTTGGTGGAATTGTTTGGGAAGAGTGAGGGGGTGTGGCATTGTTGGAGGAGGCCTGGCCATGCTGGATGAGGTACCTCATTAGCGGTGGGCTCTGAGGTTTCAAAAGCCAACACTGTTTCCCAGCTAGCTCTCTCTGCCTTCTGCCTGTGAACCAGATGTGAGCTCTTCGCTCTGCCTCAGAGCTATGCCTGCCTACCCACTGCTATGCTCCCCACCATGATGGACACGGACTCTAAGCTCTGGAACTCTAATCCCGTTACATGCTTTCTTTTATAAATTGCCTTGGTCATGGTGTTTTGTTTCAGCAACAGAACAGCGACTAAGGCCTGTTTCCTTCCTCGTTCTCTTCCTGGTCCTGGGTTTGGGGTAGTTGTCCAAGGACTTTTTAAAAAATGTATACATGGGTTTTTTTTTCATGTCTGTTTTTTGGGTGGGTATTCTAAATATTACTTTAGGAATTATATATCTTGTGTTTCTCCAGTTTTTTTATTTAAAAATATTTTATGTCTCTGGATGGTTGCCTGTATGTGTATCTGTGCGCCGTGTGACTGAAATGTCCTCAGAATCCAGAGAGGGCGTGGGAGCCACCAGACTGTAGTTACAGAGGTTGCGATCCACCAAGTGGGTCCTGAGCACTGAACCTGAGTTCCCCAGAAGAGCCGCCAGTGGTGGAACCACTCAGACATCTCTTAAGCAACTCCAATTATTTAAAATGTGATGACAGTAAAGCATCCTTGAGATTAAAGTTTAAAATCTCAAGTGTCTGGGTAAGAGACACTACTTCTCATAGAAACTTTCGCAATGGACTGCTTCTGCTCCTGTTTATAATATTTTTAAATGGTTTCATCTGCTGTTGGTATAGGTGATTCCCCTCCCCAGGTATTTCTGTACAGACTGCGATGTTTCTAAATACGTTTATTTTTTCCATTGACTCTGTCAAATGTTCAAGCTTCCGACCAATTTATGCTCATTTCTCAGTTTTGATTATCTGTCATTTTATGTATTAAGCTCAGGTTTCAAATTAATTCTTGGATCACTAATTAAGTAATGTTTTCCGTAGAGGGAAGAAGTTTCAACTAAAGTTAGACAGGCAAATACGTGTCACTTGGGAGAAGGGGGGGAAGGGGGGCCTGGTCTGCCAGGCCTTATGTGAGCTGCAGTCCCTCATTTCTCATATTTGACTGCCAGGGAACCCCACAGGGACCAGCTCCTCCTGCTTTCCCTGAACTGCTGCTCTGAGGTCCTGTCCTGCCTTCTTCACCCCCCCCCACAGCAGCTACTGAGGCTCCTGCTCCTTCTCCAGCTAGGCTGCAGTCTTTCACCAATCAGTGGAGGCCCTGGCCTCCCTCATTTACACTTCCCCTCCCCACCCCACAGCCACAGCCACACCCACAGCCACACCCACAGCCACACCCATACCCACACCCACACCCACACCCACACCCACACTAACAGCCACAACCTCAGCCACACCCACAACCAAAGCCAGAGCCACACCCACACCTACACCCACAGCCACACCCATACCCACACCCACAGCCACACCCACACCTACACCCACAGCCACACTAACAGCCACAGCCTCAGCCACACCCACACCCACAGCCACACCCACACCCACAGCCACACCCATAGCCTCAGCCACACCCACACCCACAGCTACACCCATAGCCACAGCCACACCCACAGCCACAGCCACATCCACAGCCACACCCATAGCCACAGCCACAGCCACACTCACACCCACAGCCACAGCCACACCCACAGGCTCCTGCCTCTGCCACAGCCACAGCCACACTCACACCCACAGCCACAGCCACACCCACAGGCTCCTGTCTCTGCCACACACAGCAGCTTCCTCTCCCATCTACACCCTGCAGCTTTCCTTCAGAGAACCTGGACCAATTATTGAAAATGATCTATTTTGTTTTTTTCCAGAATCTTATTCTTTGTATGTGGGAGGCTTCCTGGCAGGCTGGGCTACTATTTTGCCAGAATTAGGCAGGAATTTTTTTAATGTTATTATTGTTTTAAAGCAGAATTTCTTCTATGCTTGGGCAGAAGCCATTCCTAATTTCATAATATTTTTTTTTATTTTGGAAGCACTCTTATTTTTATCAATGCCCACATTCCCTCGCCCTACCATGTTCCCATGCACCTCGCCAACTCACCCAACCCACTCCACCCACTCCCCAAGGATAGTGAGGCCCTCCACGGGGGATGATCAAAGTGCCTCACATCATTTTGTTTTTATTTTCTTCATATCTATATTACTCCAGTGTCTCAGTCCTGTTCTCTCCTGTTCTCCTCCCCCCTCCTCTCCCTCTTCCCTTCCCATCTCTCTCCTCTCCCCTCCCCCATGCTCCCAATTTGCCCAGGGATTCTTGTCCCCTCCCATTCTTCGAAAATCAGTCAAAAGAGATGAAGATGAGAATTTCATATTCATCACAGGAAAAGTCCATCAAGATGAAGTCTCAATTCTGAACATCTATGCCCCAAATACTAAGGCACCCACATTCGTAAAAGAAACATTACTAAAGTTACTAAAGCTCAAATCACAGACTTACAGTGGGAGACTTCAAGACTCCACCCTCATCACTAGACAGGACCATCAGACAGAAACGTAACAAAGGAACAAAGGAGTTAACGGAAGTTATGGCCCAACTGGGTTTAACAGACATCTATAGAACATTCCATCTAAACATTAAGAATATACCTTCTTCTCAGCGCCATATGCAACCTTCTCTAAAACCTACCACATACTCAGCAATATTTCAAACCTCAACAGATAAAAAACTGAAATAACCCCCTGTATCCTATCATATCACCACGGTTTAAAGTTAGAATTCAGCAACAACACAAATTACAGAAATCCTACAAACTCATGGAAATTGAAAAATGCACAGTTGCACCATTCCTGGGTCAAGGAAGAAATAAAAAAAGCAATTAAAGACTTCCTAGAATTCAATGAAAATAAAGACACTTATGGGACACTTTGAAAGCAGTGCTAAGAGGAAAGTTCATAGCACTAGGTGCACACATGAAGAAACTGGAGAATAGTCACACTAGAGAATTAACAGCATAACTGAAAGCTTAGAACACAAGGAGGCAAACTCACCCCAGAGGAGTAGATGGCAGGAAATAATCAAATTGAGGGCTGAAATCAATAAAGTAGAAACTAGGAAAACAATACAAAGAATCAATGAAACAAAGAGTTGGTTTTTCAAGAAAATCAGCAAGATAGACAAACCTTTTATCCAAGCTAACCAAAAGGCAGGGAAAGAGCATGCAAATTAACAAAATCAGAAATGAAAAGGGGACATAACAACAGACACTGATGAAATTCAGAGAATCATCAGGTCATGCTTTGAAAACCTGTACTCCACAAAATTCAAAAATCTAATGGAAATGAACAATTTTCTGAATAGATATCACTCACCAAAATTAAGTTTAGAATAGATATGCAATTTAAATAGACCTGTAACCCCTAATGAAATAGAAGCCATCATCAAAAGTCTCCCATCCAAAAAAAAAAAAAAAAAAAAACCAAACAAACAAAACAAAAAAACCAGGGCCATATGGCTTCAGTGCAGAATTCTACCAGAAATTCAAAGAAGAGCTAACACCAGTACTACTCAAATTGTTTCACACAATAGAAGCAGAAAGGACATTGCCAAACTCTTTACAGGCTACAGTTACCTGGGTACCCAAGCCACACAAAGACACAGCTAAGAAAGAGAACTACAGACCAATATCCCGCATGAACATTGTTGCAAAATACTGGCAAACAGAATCCAAGAACACATCAGAAAAATCATCCCCTCTGATCAAGTAGGCTTCATCCCAGGGATGCAGGGAAAATACGAAAATCCATAAATGTAATCCACCATATAAACAAACTGAAAAATAAAAACCAAATGATCATCTCACTAGACGCTGAGAAAAACCTTTGACAAAAATCCAGTTTCATAATTATTTGCAGTAAGGTTTCTGTCTGTACACAG